AGCTAGTTATAATATACAATCAAGCGGGGTCATAGGTACCTATTTCTATAAAATATCTATAGCGAATTTGTATTTAGACAGATCATAAAAAATATGCCATTAGATTAGTGGTCAACAACAAGTGACAAAAATAACAGTTATAAAATACTAGGTCTTCAAAATACTACTCCAATACAATACTCAATCGTTTTTCCGTCTGTCTGTCCTGATGTCTGTGTCTGATATTTTTAAAACAATGCAACGGATTTTGATGCGGTTTTTTAAATAGAGTGATTGAAGAGGAAGATTTATACAGGGTGTCCCAGAATGGGTGAATCAAACTGCTAGGGGAGGTAAGCTCTACTAATGTACTCCATAAAATCCATAAAAATATTAAAAAAAAAAATTTTTCAGATCGGATTTTTTTTTTAAAAGTGCTCTAAACTCGAAATCTAGTCATTATTTTCAAAAGTTTGTTTACAGATAAACGAAGCGATCATGTACAACTAATATTAATAAGAAAAAAGTACAAATAAACTCCAAACGCAGCAATTATAGCCAGATACTTAGACAAAGCTGATTTATTTTCATTTTTTCAAAGCAAGTATTTTTTGTGTCCTTATGCGCTTTATTTTTTTTTCGTCTTTTTTAGGGATAGTACATTAGTAGAGCTACCTCCAATAGCAGTTTGATTCACCCATTCTGGGACACCCTGTATGTATACTTAGCACCCGTGCGAAGGCGGGCCGGGTCGCTAGTTATCTTATAATTTAAGCAGATAAACAATGTAGACCACTTAGGGCACATCAACTTTTGGAAAGAGGTAGAACGACAATCTTATCACTTTCAAAAAATCGAACTGCCTAAGGTGGGAATCGAACCCACCTTTCGCTTGCCGGGCGACTGCTTTTCCATCTGAGCTACTTAGACACTGGATGAACCCGTTTTAATAAGTTACACAAATACTATAGTCTGGCCTGCGAGCACGTAGAACTTTGTCCAATGACCCCAAGCTACCCATCCTTATCGCTCGCGCGTAATTATGTTGCTGTCGCGCTCGCACACTCACTGCGGGCGCGCGTCGCACAGTCGCGACAGCAATATAATTACGCGCGAGCGATAAGGATGGGTAGCTTGGGGTCATTGGACAAAATTCTACGTGCTCGCAGACCGGGCTTTAGTTCCAAAATACTCACAGTCCCTCCTTTTGGTGCGTCGCCAGATGCATTTGGACGTGGTATTTCGTGTTGAACATGTGAGCGCACACTGGACATTCGTACCTGTGAAATAAAACCGGTGGTTTGTATTAGTATTAATCCCTGAGGCCCAGAACAGACGGTGAAACGCAACTGCAACGAAACTGCAACTGCTAGTTACTTTCGAGTTGCATCTAAGTTTCTGCCATAGCGTCCCTTGAGAGACCACACATGATGCGACCAGTTTGAAACTTTCAGTGTCAGTTTCATTCATCAGAATCATCAGAAAGTTGCAGTTTCGTTGCAATTGCGTTTCACAGTCTGTTCTGGGCCTAAAATGCGAATGCAACTCTGTGTCTGTCACGCTTTCACGCCTAAACCACTGAACCGAATTTGATTAAATTTGGCATAGAGATAGTTTGAGTCCCGGAATAGTTTTTATCCCTGTTTTTGAAACAGGGACGCGCGCGATAATGTTTTTCTGTGATAGATAAAATTCCATGCGGGCGAAGCCACGGGCGGAAAGCTAGTTAATAATTAACTATCTGCGAGTGTCAAAGCCACGATAGCCGAACGGTGAAGGGGTCGGACTGGCCGACTCGTGATCCGGGGAACGCGGGTTCGGTTCCCGCCGCCGCTCGACTATTGTGGCTTCAGTACTCAACGTTCGAATAATCTTTACTACTACGCAAGCAGGGCAGGGCACATAGTACGCAAAATTGACGGCCGACGGGGCAGCAAGGAAATCTGGAATGGAGGCCGCGTACCGGAAAACGTAGCGTGGGACGTTCACCTACAAGGTGGACCGACGACATCGTAAAGGTAGCAGGGAAGCACTGGACGAAGGCCGCTACCAATCGATCAACGTGGAAAGCATTGGGGGAGGCCTATGTTCAGCAGTGGACGTCCTGTTGCTGAAATGATGATGATGATGACTACGCAAGCAATGTGTTCTGTTTTTGGGCATATTGCTGCGACACCGGCCCCGCCCCCTTTTCACATCTCCCTTTAGTTTCTGTGATCTGTGAATGTATCTCACCTAAGCACGAATTTTTCAGCTCTATGGCTGACGATATGTCGTTGTAACTTGCACGGCGCGTTGAATGACTTAGAGCGAACCATAAAGTTACCTAGCGGAATAGAGCAACAAAGAACTGAGCGAGCGAGATGTCACTAGCAGCAACACTGTGATAAAAAGAGATGCGTGACGCCGTCGCCGTCACGTCAAACAGAACAGTTTTTTGCAATAATTTGACAGTTCAGAGGCACGCAGTGGCACACTGAAAATTTTACGTGAGTGAAATCGTGCATGTTTATGTGAAAAGTGCTTCAGAAACGTGGTGACTGGTTCAGTGATTGACTTATTGTACAAAACAGTGATATAATTCTGACACTGACACATAAGTGTCATCCAAAATTGTTTCGTTTGACAGCTTCATGGAACGAAGGTCTTAGTCCTATTTACTTGACATATTATGTATGTATTTAATAATAATCTAACTCACCTAAGAACGAATTTGTCAGCTCTATGGCTGACGATATGTCGTTGCAACTTGCACGGCGCGTTGAAGGACTTGGAGCACACGTTGCAAATGTAATCCTTGTCTGGCTTGTGGTGCTTGCGGTGGTAAACCTGGAGATACAAGAAGGTTTTTAAAAAAAGGAATCAAATCGCCGCTGATCAATACATTATCTATACTAATATTATAAATAGGTAAAGTTTGTGTGATTGTATATTTGTTAAATTGTAAGGGGTAATCTCGGGATCTACTGAACCGATTTTCAAAATTCTTTCACCAATAGAAAGACGAGTGTTATAGGTTGTATAAAAAACCGATAAATTCCACGCGTGCGAAACCGCGGGCGGAAAGCCAGTTTCTTATAAATAGTCCTCGTAAGCCCAGATGTGCCTCAGAAGGAACTGAAACTTTGTAGTCGGTAACGCCGAGACATTTTCGGAGGTGAATTGTAAGTATCGCCCGATGTGCCTTCAGAGGAACTAAAACTTTAGCGATAATTTTAAGTTCAAAAATTCGCGCCTATCGAAAAAAACGAGTGATAGTCTATGGCTCAAAGTATTCAAAATCAGGTATCCGAACTTATTAATGTAAAAAAAACAAAATGTCACTGTCAAATTATCATTTTTCTTAGACAAGGTGGTTCTTCCGAGCGGACGTGATTTACGATTAATTTTTTTTCTTCACGTAAACGTAGTTTAATTGAAAAACTAACCAGTGTAATTAAAGTTAAAATACTGCTAAACAAGCAAAAAAAATATTTTTACCAATTCGAAGAAGTTTTGTATGATTTTTTTTCGTTTGAAAATAATAGTTCTTTGCAAGGAACATTCGGTCTTGATGGTGAAAGTTTTATTTTTGTATATTTTTTCTATTGAGATGAATTGAGTATTGGACTTTTAAAATTGATATGATTGGGAAAATTTACTATGAGAACGTTCTGATTTCTATTTTAATAAATATTATAATTAACATGAATATTGACTTTACTTCTAACCTATCATTATTGTATGTCGATCGATAACCGATAGTACTTTTAAAAGTACTACTTATGGAACATACATACATAAAATTAAAATACTTGTGCCTTTTCAGTTACATTTATTAATATCATTATTGTATCTTTATGTAGTATTAATTTATTAAGGAGGTTACATTTATGTTTTACTTTAAAGTATAATATACAATTTATTTACTTTTTCTTTTTAAAGTCTGTAATACCGAATGTTCTTTTAAGAGAAAACATTTTTTTATTATTTTTTACCTAAAATAAGCTCTATGCACTATTATATAGGGTCCCTGAAAATATGGGTGCAAAAGAAAATCTCTAACATAGAAATTTTTTTACTCGAAGTGCTCGGCGTTTACGACTTCAAATTATTCGTTCTTCTGAAAGCACATTCGGCGATACTTAGAAGTTGACAAAANGGTTAATCAATACAAAGACTAAGTAATTGGATCCTAGTTTAATAAATGAATATGCGTTATATCTTGTGCACTTTTTAAACAATGTCTAAAATACTAGTTCCAGTCACGTGACAAAACACTAGATACCAACCATGGTCTCTCTCTTCCTCTGAATAGCACGCAGTTATATTGACACTAAAATTCTAGCTCATAGCACGTGATAAAATACTAGTTCCACCAAAATACTAGTTACCATATACATAGTTTTCCTCTTGTTGTAGCCCTTCCCCCATTTTTTCAAATTCAAATTGTTACTAACCAAACTATGGACTGCTTTTGTCTGATAATAAATGATTTTTATTTTATTTTATTTTATTTATTTATTTTATTTTTTTATATAGTAAGACTAAAATACTAGTTCCAGTCATGTGATAAAAATACTAGTTACCAGTCACGTAATAAAAATACTAGTTCCAGTCACGTTATAATAATACTAGCTCCAGTCACGTGATAAAAATACTAGTTCCTAATACCAACCATCGTCTCTTTCTTCTTGTATCCCTTCCCGCATATAGTGCACAGGTAGGGCCTCGGTCCGCTATGCGTGGCCTCGTGCTCCCTGAGCGTCGGTTCATCAGGCATCGTCTCCAGGCAGAAGTTGCATTTCATTACTAGGTCCTCACCGTCGTGGCACTTTTTGTGGACCTGTTGCAATAAGATAGATAGAACACACATTATTGAACAGTGATATTGTGTTCATTAAACATTGAATTCAAAAGGAATGATGGTCGTATTGGTCGTGGGTTCGGTGCTCAATAAATGCTAATATTTGTGTGTATACAGCGTGAGTCACGATAAAGTGCACATATTAAATTAGGTGAAACTAGACCTATTTTTTCCACAAAAAAGTGGTCAAAAATTGTTTAAGATTTAAAAAAAAATGTTTTTTTTTCTTCCAACTACTTATTGTAAAGAAAACGTAATAACTTTAAAACTAAGAGGTATAGGTATCCTGATAAAATAAAAACAGTAATAATGCTAAATAACAGAAGATACTAAAAAATACATAAAATACTCAGAAAATACCAACAAACAATAAAAAATTATATTTTTTTGAAAAAAAAAAAACAAACTTAAAACCGTGTTTTTTTTTGGTTATTTGATAAATTTCTCCAAAAAATGCCCCCATAACAGGTGGTTTTTATTACTTTGTATTATTATCTATCGTATTACCTTTGTAAAACCAAAAATCGCATGTCTCTATCCCTATCACATTTGCTATGATCACCTAATTTCAAATGTACACTTTATTGTGACTCACACTGTATTTTTACATATTATACATAGAACACCATTCTGTGAATAATAATATTATGTGCGTTACAATATGTGTGAATGTGCTAATAAATGAATGTAATTAATGATTACATGCAACTTATATTTCACATATTGACTATAGTCTGGTCTGTGAGCACGTAGAATTTCGTCCATTGACCCCAAGCTACCCATCCTTATCGCTCGCGCGTAATTATATTGCTGTCGCGACTGTGCGACGGGCGCCCGCAGTGAGTGTGCGAGCGCGACGGCAATATAATTACGCGCGAGCGATAAGGATGGTATAGCTTGGGGTCATTGGACGCAATTCTATGTGCTCGGCGACCGGACTTCAGACCTATAGTGCTATAAATATAAGACAAATTACCTGCAAAGTCTCCAAATGCAAGAACCGTTTATGACAGAACTCGCACGCGTGCGGCCGTTTCTTATACTTCTTCTGCTTTTCGCCCGGACCCTGCTTCTTGTTGAATTTCGCTTTGGCCTTCTTTATTAGACTCCTAGAAAAAAACTAGTTTTAAAACTTGCTGACAGGTTACCAGGAACTTATCTGACAGATAAATTCCTGACAAAAGTCAAAATTGAAGATTTCTTAGTTTGTAATATCGCTTTGCGCTTTGGTTTGAACTTGCTGATAGTTTATCTGAAAGTTATCTATAAGACTAGCTGTGCCCGCGACTTCGTCCGCGTGGACTAATGACTTTGGGTAGGCACTTTTAATAATTTAGTCTAATTATTTTACAAAGGCCTATGTTCAGCAGTGGACGTCCTATGGCTGAAATGATGATGATGATGATTTTACAAATAGCTTTTGCCCGCGACTTCGTCTGTGTAGAAGTCGAAAAAGTTCTCATAGGATTTTTAAATGGTTTTTAACGTTATTATCTAAATGTTTGAATACTATTTGATCGTTTAAACACAGTGAATGATTCAATTACATAAAATTTTAATGATACTTTTCACGGCTTCGCTCTCATGAATGTTAACGACCGTCAAAAGCACGTCGATAGATGGCGGTCACTAATTTAGACTTTGATTTGCTCGTTTAAACACAGTGAATTATTCAATTACATAAAATATCTATAATGACTAAATTTTAAATATTATGAACAGTTCTATAAATGTAATATTTAGTTCCTAATTAGGACTAATGATACGTTTCACGGCTTCGCTCTCATGAATGTTTACGACCGTCAAAAGCACGTCGATAGATGGCGTTTTTAAGGATATTTCTCACCTCTTAACTATTTATTGAAATTTAGTTTGTCACATATCGTCATAAATTGTAGCCTATATATTAGCCTGGGTTATAAATAATAATACTGTAAAGTTTCAACAAAATCCGTTTATTAGTTTTTGCGTGAAAGAGGAACAAACATCCAGACATCCAGACAAAAAGGTTACAGTGAGCCAACCATAAAAGATAGACATATGCTGTAGCGGACTTTTTTGTAGAACTTTTAAAGGGGAAAATCCTATCATACATAATTTATGCGAAACTTTAACCGTTTACGCAGCGTCAGCTCTCAAAAGGAAAAAAATCACTGATTTGAAACATTCTTCATTGGTGCTCCGCTCCTAGTGGTCTTAGCGTGATGATATATAGCCTAAAGCCTTCAGGGATTAACGGACTATCCAACACAAAAAGAATTTTTCAAATTGGTCCAGTAGTTCCTGAGATTAGCGCGTTCAACCAAATAAACAAACTGTGATTAATAAATTGCGCCACTACAAACCGTACCAACAGATGGTTGTATGGGAAAATATTTTTTATTAAATATTACGATATCCACTTTCTGACACCACTATAGTATTTATATGAGTATGTTAACATGGGCTAGTCTCGGCTCATATACCCATTTACCTAACACCCTGTATAGACAAACCAAGATTGTGTAAATTAAATGCTTTAACTCCTTATGGTGGTTGAGCGTCATGTTCCACAATTTCAGCTTTATAATATTAGTATAGATAAAGCCAAAGTGACGATTTCTAAGTTGTGTAAATGCAAATTGTTTTTAAGTTACAACTTGTTGATAGGTTATCAGGAACTTATCTGTCAGATAAATACCTAAAAGAGCCAAGATTGAGGATTTTTAAGATAAGTAAGTAACTAATGCAAATTGAATTATTAAACTTGCTTATATGTTACCAGGAACTGATCTGTCAGATGAACATGAGAACTAGACAATTTATAATTATGCAAATAGCTTTAGTTACAACTTGCAGATAGCCTATCAGGAACTTATCTGTCAGATAAATTTAAGGGTATTTGACGATTTGTGAGTATCTTTTATTTAGTGCTCGCAAATAGCCTACCAGGAACTTATATGACAGTTAAGTTAAAAAAAAATTGAATGATTTTTAAGATTGCTTACTTTTTATCCAATTTTCCATCTTTTCCAGTTTCTTCCATGTCTGGTTTTACATCTTCTAATTTCACTGGAGCTTCGTCACCTGATGACAAACAGACAAAAATATATCAGAACATATTTAAACCGCCTCTGTGGTCTAGTGGTAAGACCACCTGCTTCAGACGCAGAGGTCCCGGGTTCGATTCCCAGTGGGGGCAGATTTTTCTGTTCGGTTTGGTTGGTGGTAGGGCTTGTTCTAAGCCCGCCTGGCTAGCTACCACCATCTTACCTAAGTCTGTCGCCATAACAACAATGTTAACAGCATTGTTGTGTTCCGGCAGTTAGAGGTAAGATAGTCAGTTCCTAAGTAGTTGAGGATTCCGGGTGAAGCTCGCTTCCACCTTCGGCCTGATCATCACTTACCATCAGGTGACATACAGGCCAAGAGCTTCCTCGTTGTGGATAAAAAAAAATGTTCAGCAGTGGACGTCCTATAGCTAAAATGATGATGATGATGAACTCACCTTCCCAAGTCTCCTGATGAGTCACCACATGTCTAAGCATATTGCTTGACGTTAAAAGGCCTCTCCTCAGTAAGAGGCTGCATATGCACCCTCTTATTTGAAAGCTACATAGAAAATAATACAGTAACTTACCTTCCCACGTCTTTTAATGAGTCAAAACGATGCTATGCATCTTGCTATATGTTAAAAGGCCTTTCCTCACTATGAGGCTGCATATGCACCCCCTTATTTGGAAGCTACATCGAAAATACTTTTTTTTTTTTTTTTTTTTTTTTATCTACAACGAGGAAGCTCTTGGCCTGTATCTCACCTGATGGTAAGTGACGATCAGGCCGAAGGTTGAAACGAGCTTCACCCGGAATCCTCAACCACGGAGGAACTGGCTATCTTACCTCTAACTGCCGGAACACAACAATGCTGTTAACATTGTTGTTATGGCGACAGACTTAG